AACAAAAAATAGAAGATTTACTGTTATGCAGACTACTGCAATACTGTAATGATTGTAAAAATTACATCAACCCATTCATGACTGCATATTAGAATGGCTATTTGGACATTTATTGGACAATGACATCATTTGTTTACTTTTGAACATCGGCAAAAATCAAATATTTCCCGTACTTTGTGCTCCATTTCCAGGTTCTTTTAATAGTAAAATTAATCAAAATCACCTCTATTTCTATAATATAGTTTCCATTCTATCAAATGAGACCAAGAAAACAAGAATACAACCACAAATACTATACAAAAATAGACCACAAAGTCGGCATTTTAATTAAAAAAAAAACGGTCGGAGTTTTTTTTTCTCATTATGTACTGCGTGCTCCAGGATTTTTTTATATGGTGCACACTGACCACACAGACCCATTCTCTCACATGTGGGCCTACCAGCTTTCTACTGCCTGGTTTGAAGCCGCTAGAATTTATGAGTATATACATGTATACGTCAAATACGGTACCTCATAAACGTATATATACGGCCGTGACAGTCAAAGGGTTAATATCGTTAGTCGAGGGTCCACTGTATTATGTAAGCCATGCATGTCGCAAAATCCGACTAAAATGCTGGGAGCAAGGGACTAGTAACTCCTTCTCCTGTATATATTACTAAATTTAAAAAGAGAAGCTTTCGTTTTTCTTTTTGGGCCACCCTGCCTTGGTGGGACATGGCCAGTTTGTTGAAAAAAAAAAAGTATTATGTCTAGGTAGTAGGCTGGTAGACAGCAACTGCCCAGGGAGGTACTACCATCCTACCAAGTGAGTGTAAAATGAAAGCCTGTAATTGTTTTACATGATGGTAGGATTGCTGGTGTCCTATTTTCTGTCTCATAAACATGCAAGATTTATGTCTTGCTACTTCTACTTACACTTAGGTCATACTACACATACATGTACAAGTATATATATAGACACCCCTTTGGGTCACCCTGCCTCCCACTGAGGCAGGGTGACCCAAAAAGAAAGAAAATCCCGAAAAAGAAAATACTTTTATCATTCAACACTTTCACCTCACTCACAAATAATCACTGTTTTTGCAGAGGTGCTCAGAACACAACAGTTTAGAAGCATATACGTATAAAGATACACAACATATCCCTCCAAACTGCCAATATCCCGAAACCCCTCCTTTAGAGTGCAGGCATTGTACTTCCCATTTCCAGGACTCAAGTCTGGCTATATAAAAATAGCCGTTTCCCTGAATCCCTTCATTAAATATTACCCTGCTCACACTCCAACAGATCGTCAGGTCCCAAATACCATTCGTCTCTATTCACTCCTATTGAACACGCTCATGCATACCTGCTGGAAGTCCAAGCCCCTCGCCCACAAAACCTCCCTTACCCCCTCCCTCCCAACCTTTACGAGGACGACCCCTACCCTGCCTGCCTTCCCCTACAGATTTAAATTCTCTCCATGTCATTCTAATTTGATCCATTCTCTCTAAATGACCAAACCACCTCTAACAACCCCTCTTCAGCCCTCTGACTTATACTTTTATTAACTCCACACCTTCTCCTAATTTCCACACTCCGAATTTTCTGCATAATATTTACACTACACATTGCCCTAAGACAGGACATCTCCACTGCCTCCAACTGTCTCCTCGCTGCTGCATTCACAACCCAAGCTTCACACCCAAATAAGAGAGTTGGTACTACTATACTTTCATACATTCCCTTCTTTCCCTCCATAGATAATGTTTTTTGTCTCCATATATACCTCAACACACCACTCACCTTTTTTCCTTCATCAATTCTATGATTAACCTCATCTTTCATAAATCCATCTGCCGACACGTCAACCCAAGTATCTGAAAACATTCACTTCTTCCATACTCCTCCTCCCCAATTTGATATCTAATTTTTCTTTATCTAAATCATTTGATACCCTCATCGCCTTACTCTTTTATATGTTCATTTTCAACTTTCTACCTTTACTCACCCTCCCAAACTCATCCCCTAATCTTTGCAATTTTTCTTTAGAATCTCCCATAAGCACAGTATCATCAGCAAAAAGCAACTGTGTCAATTCCCATTTTGTATTTGATTCCCCATAATTTAATCCCAACCCTCTCCCGAACAACCTAGCCTTTACTTCTTTTACACCCCCATCTATAAATATATTAAACAACGATGGTGACATTACACATCCCTGTCTAAGACCTACTTTTACCGGGAAGTAGTCTCCCTCTCTTCTACACACCCTAACCTGAGCCTCACTGTGTTCATAAAAACTCTTTACAGCATTTAGTAACTTACCACCTATTCCATATACTTGCAACATCTGCCACATTGCTCCCCTATCCACTTTATCATATGCCTTTTCTAAATCCATAAATACAATAAAAACTTCCCTACCTTTATCTAAATACTGTTCACATATATGCTTCAATGTAAACACTTGATCTACACATCCCCTACCCATTCTGAAACCTCCTTGCTCATCTGCAATCCTACATTCTGTCTTACCTCTTAATTCTTTCAATAATAACCCTACCATACACTTTTCCTGGTATACTCAGTAAACTTAATCCTCTATAATTTTTACAATCTCTTTTGTCCCCCTTCCCTTTATATAAAGGGACTATACATGCTCTTCGCCAATCCCTAGGTACCTTCCCCTCTTTCATACATTTATTAAACAAAAATACCAACCACTCCAACACTATATCCCCCCTGCTTTTAACATTTCCGTCATGATCCCGTCAGTTCCAGCTGCTTTACCACCTTTCATTCTACGTAATGCCTCACGCACCTTCCCCACACTCACATCTTGTTCTTCTTCACTCTTGTTTATTTCCTCTCATCTCCCTGGGGAAGTGAAACAGAATTCTTCCTCCGTAAGCCATGCTTGTTGTAAGAGACGACTAAAATGCCAGGAGCAAGGGGCTAGTAACCCCTTCTCCTGTATAAATTACTAAATTTAAAAAGAGAAACTTTTGTTTTTCTTTTTGGGCCTCCCTGCCTTGGTGGGATATGGCTGGTTTGTTGAAAAAAAAAAGTATTATGTGTACTGTATATGCTTTATTTTAGGCCTAGCTCTGTTGTTATCAGGCTTTTATGTACATCTGAAAGTAAAAAAAGGCTATGATTCACTTTACAATGGTAGCTCAGAACTTAACCTATTGTATAAGCAAGGCCTTCCTATATGTGCAAATCAGGCCCCTCATGCCAAATGTATTAAACTCAGTCAAGACATCAACACTTAATTCTACATGTTAAGAATCTTCAATAAATTTGCAAATTTCACTAATCATGCACAGTGAATGTATATCATACAGAATTAATGACAGAAATGGAGAATAATAGAAAATTCACAAAAAGGAAACCCATAATGAGAGGGGAAACTAACATGAACAAACTTGAGAAAATGTTCAGGAGGGTTAAAAGTGGATGAAACACAATTTTCACTGTGCAATACAATGCATCTTAAACAATAACAAAACTGCTTAATATAACAGTTTATTTCTTTGAAACTTTTTTCATAGGATTTATTAATTAATGACAGTACAATATTAGCTTACTGACTTCTTTATTTTTTATTTTAACATGCCGGTCGTCTCCCACCAAGGCAAGGTGACTTGATAATCTCAGAACCACAGTTCGAGCCTCCCATCCAACCCTTCTTTATATCCTCTTTATTTATTATGGTGGCCATATAAAAAAAAAGAAAAAGAAATTAATAGGACACTTTGCCAAGTGAGTCAAACACTGTATTAACCCGTAAACGGTCCAAACGTATATATACGTTTTTTCAACATTTGAAAGTACGTAAAAAAAGTAGATCTTCTTTTTGTTTTTTTACATTTGAAAATGTGTAAAAAACTTTGATCTACTTTTTTTTTGTTATATTTGAAAATATGTAAAAAAAACATAGATCTACTTTTGGAGCACTACACATGTGAAGTTAGATCTGCTTGGACCGTTTACGGGTTAATATACAGTGTCTGTGCTGAAAGTGTCTTTGTGCCATCAACTCATCTTATTTTTCTTTGTGTAATTTGTGATCCAGAATTGTAAAACATATTCCAAGTGCAATCTGACCCACTTAGCGTCTGTGTAAACACTATCTGTGTCATCTGGAGTCTGTTAGCTGTCATGTTAAAGATTTTTATCCACTATTCTTTCTTCCTAGTCACTTCCTCCCCTCCAATTTTTGGTATCTGTTGACTCAGGAATGTCTCACATTCTGGGTTTAATTCCAGTTATCTCCTTCATTCTCCATGGGGAAGTGGAATAGAATTCTTCCTCTGTAAGCCATGCGTGTTGTAAGAGGCGACTAAAATGCCGGGAGCAAGGGGCTAGAAACCCCTTCTCCTGCATACATTACCAAAGTTAAAAACAGGAACACTTATTTTTCCTTTTTGGGCCACCCTGCCTCAGTGGGATATGGCCAGTTTGTTGAACGAAAAAGAAGAATCTATTTCATATTCCAGCTTTATTTTCTAATTAGTAAATTAGGTGCCAACATAGAACTAGAGGTGAGGTGAGTTAATGGATGGGTGGTTGTGTTTGTGTTTTGTTCATAATTTATATTGATGTGCACTGTATATGAATTATGCGTAGAGTATATGAATACGTGTAAGGTGTATACATGCTCAAATTACACCAGATTATTACAAATACATCAAAATGATATACAGTATAAGAAAATAAAAACTACAATCTTGTGCCTTGGTCCATGGTATAGTAATAAAACCTGCTCAATAATATAGTAATAAATAATATAGCAATAATATAGTAATAAATAATATAGTAATAAAAACTGCTCTTTCAATAAAAATCTTTAATAAATACTTTACGGTGTTTCCCTCTTTGGGTCACTCGACCTTGGTGAGACAGCAGGTGTGGCAAAATTTTTTTACAGTGAATAATAAAATATGAGATACGTCAATTCCAAAGACCATGACAAAGAAGAGCATAAACAAAGAAGCACCGCTTTACTTACCCTTCGTTCGCACTAGGAATAGCAGTCACCGGAGGTAATGGAAAAAAGTGATGTTAGAGCTCAGAAAGAACTTCAGGCAAAGGAAACATGCTAAGGGAGTAATAAAGATTAGCAACAGAAGTTGGATGCACTACACTACATCTGTTTTTAATTTTGTGAGAAATACATAATACAATACTATAAAGCCCCTTATTATTACACAGGCAGGAATATTATTATAAGCAAACCAGCATTAAGGTATCCTCTATCCTCTTACTGCTTCTTTCTAAAGTAAACTACACAAAACAAAGAGTAATGTTCTTTGTTTCTCAGTATGTGAACACGAAAGTGTGCATGTGTATGATTGTCTATGCTTGTGGTGTTCCATCTTTATATTTGATGTATAAATATTTCTTAAGTTACCAATGACTAGGGCATATATTCCCTATAATTGGAGCCCACTACACTTATCTCTCACTTTTATTTGTGAAGAGTTATTACCAGCTATCTTTTCTACATTTTCACAGAAGTTTGGAACTGTGGCCTTTTGGCTTAATTATTAAGGATATGAAAAAGACTGTCTTTTCTGTTTTATCATATCCCTTCATAATCAAGCAGTGCGTATTACATATATCCCCCCTTTTCCTCTTGGCTTAAATTTAAGAGAAAAGATTTTCAATGCTTTCATTTTTTTTTTCAAAGCTCACCTGTTCTAGAAGTTATTGTGGCATAACATTTCCTTAATTAATATAATGAGCATAAAAAAGTATATACATACATGTCAATTTCCATAACTTCATAGAAGGAATAAAAATCAATTTAAGGTGTCTTGAAAATGGAGAATGTACATCAGATATGTAGATTTCAAATCTTTATTGTAAGCTTCTCAAATAAGTGTGCCTAAAATAAGTAGTGGCATTCGATACTGAACATGTAGATGCAGCTAGGGTAGATGGTATGGTGATACCGACAAACTATGGAAAAGTATGTACAGTTTGCAACATTTATTGTAAGAAACGTTTCCCCATACTGGGTTCAACAATCCTTACTACCGATGGAGCCACTCGTGGCAAAACATTTCCTTTAATAAATATCATGGACTAAGCACAGTTTCCTCTTCCATATGCAAGGAGCTATCAGAGATGAGTGTGTGGGAAGTCTCCATCTAGATGGAGAAGCAAGATTTTCGTTGTCTGATTGTTCGGTACTATTGATAAATGACATCTGCTAAGTGTGATATAAAATAAATAAAGCTAAATGCCGGAAGAACATTAGAGATTTTCAAAAAATATGAAGATAGACTTTTGCCTCACCCTAGATAATAAAGACATTTAATGAAATAATTAAAATAAAACTGAAAAATCACATATCAGTAAAATGCAACCATGGACAACATAGGATGAAATAAGTGGAAAGGGCATGTCCTAAAGAAAAAGTGACTGGATCTCTAAAGGATACATAAAAGCAAAAATGATACTATGGAAGTGAAAGAAAAAAAAGGAATGAGAATACTCCTCCTAATCATGACCAATGGGACTGAAACATGACAGGAAATGAGATGCAAATCTAAAATTCAGGTTATGGAAATGAACTATCAGAGAAAAACCACATCTGTTAATGTTTCTAGAAATCGCAGCCCCATGGCCCGGTCCCAGGCCAAGTCTCGTAAAAAAAAAAAATGATGAAACACAGGAAAATAAAGCTACCTAAGTGTATACTGAATATAAGTAGAAGTTTGTAAGATTTACTTGTCATCTTACATGCTCATGGGGAAGAAAAAATAGCAATCCTGCCACACTCATATGACATAATGGTATAATCTCCTCAGATTATGTGACACAGGGTGATGGGAAAGAAGTAATGCAGAAATATCTGACATAAATGGAATAGTAGAGAAGGCTTGACACATGAAGTGTGGGATAGAGTAGGTGAAGATAAATATTCTATGACTTTCTGGACATCTGGAGAGTATGACTGAGGTTTGAAAGGGAGACATACAAGAGTATTTTTATTATTATTATATTCATGGGAAGCACTAAACCATCAAGGGTAATAGTGCCTGGAGAAAGGTAATTAGGTATGATCTAAGGAAGCTGAGGACAGCTTTTATTTCTTGGATCAAGAGTCTTTCACCAGCATCAAGGCACTGTCCTTAATGCTGGTGAGAGAGTTAAATACATGAGGTTAAGGGTGATGGTTGGCAACCTACCTCGTGGAAAGGTCAAGTGGAAAATTACATGTAAGATAATTCTTATGCTGGGTTACAGCACAGATCAGGATATATGTACTTAGGTATGATTTTCATGTCATAAACATCCTTTTATATGAGAACTAGTGTGGGGAAGAATGCTAGCTTTTATGAGAGCTAAGTCCAAAAGAAATATTTAGAATGCACACTTAATCATGTATTGTCAAGTTACAAAGTAAAAACATTAACATAGACATGCCCATTAAAACAACTCATGTGGGGAGGAAACATGGTGCAAGAAATAAATGAGAAAAGTAAAAATCATTGGCAGTTTAAGATAGTAAATTTTGTTCCCGTAAAATTTATTTAAACATTATTGACAGATTTTACAAGCAAAACAAAAATTTGCCTAAAATGCTTAAAAGAGAAATTAATGAATAGAACAGCTTCACTATGAAAGAATATTAAATGCATGGTGATATAAAGGGTGTACAATGGCACTTGAATTAAATTTTAATCAGATTAACATCAAATTATAAAATAAGAAAAAATTTGTATTTAACCTGTCTGTACAAAAATATCAGAACTTAGCCTGTCTCTATAAAAAAACACATGCTATAAATTTTGGTCCTTAAAAATATTTCTGAAGAAATATTAATAATCAGAATGTCACCAAAATAAATTTAGAAGATATTAGTACTTAACCTATTTGTCTAAAGTATAAATATGTTGAAAAAACTAAGGTCCTGAAAAAAAAAAACTGAAATGTTAATAATTCCCATATTAAAAACTTGTGCATGTATTAACTATTAAGAGGACAGAGGCCTTGCTGGTGCATTAAAGATATTTACTACAAAGGTCTCTTGCTTTACATTAGGTGAACAAAAAAAAAAAAAAAAAAAAAGCAGAGGGGGATGACAAATTAATGTGAAAGTCCACCCAAAGAAAAATAACACTGGAATGTTTTTAATAAAAGGAGCTTTAATATATATACTGGCTTATGGCTAGTGTTTTTGAGAGCTCAAAAGGCACCAAATATAAATAAATATATAAAAATAACATGAGTTATGGAGTATTGTTAGTACATTTTTTTTTTTTTTTTTTTCAACAAGTCGGCCGTCTCCCACCGAGGCAGGGTGACCCAAAAAAGAAAGAAAATCCCCAAAAAGAAAACACTTTCATCATCATTCAACACTTTCACCACACTCGCACATTATCACTGTTTTTGCAGAGGTGCTCAGAATACAACAGTCCAGAAGCATACACATATAAAGATACACAACATATCCCTCCAAACTGCCAATATCCCAAACCCCTCCTTTAAAGTGCAGGCATTGTACTTCCCATTTCCAGGACTCAAGTCCGACTATATGAAAATAACCGGTTTCCCTGAATCCCTTCACTAAATATTACCCTGCTCACACTCCAACAGATCGTCAGGTCCCAAGTACCATTCGTCTCCATTCACTCCTATCTAACACGCTCACGCACGCTTGCTGGAAGTCCAAGCCCCTTACCCACAAAACCTCCTTTACCCCCTCTCTCCAACCCTTTCGAGGACGACCCTACCCCGCCTTCCTTCCCCTATAGATTTATATGCTTTCCATGTCATTCTACTTTGATCCATTCTCTCTAAATGACCAAACCACCTCAACAACCCCTCTTCTGCCCTCTGACTAATACTTTTATTAACTCCACACCTTCTCCTAATTTCCACACTCCGAATTTTCTGCATAATATTTACACCACACATTGCCCTTAAACAGGACATCTCCACTGCCTCCAACCGTCTCCTCGCTGCTGCATTTACCACCCAAGCTTCACACCCATATAAGAGTGTTGGTACTACTATACTTTCATACATTCCCTTCTTTGCCTCCATAGATAACGTTTTTTGACTCCACATATTTGCATAAATTCCTTTTATTAACCCTCTGAACATATGCATCATGTACCTGGCTGTGCCCATACTGGTGAATTCTTCCAAAACTTCCCAAATATTTTTATTTTTATTTATATTACTGAAAAGCTAAATAAATTAAAGATAATCAATGTTAAAAGCAGAATGTTGTCTCCTGCTACTAATTGTACCAAAAGTGGTCAGAGGCTCCACATGATACTCACTCTACATTTCAAGTCATTTTGACATGCATTCTGTGCTACATATTTTTCCTCAGAATTAGCACCAAATATACTCTACTTAATTAGTGGTTCTTCCAATTTACTAGTACAGTGAAGTATCACAAAATCAGCTGGATTAGGTGAATGCCTTCCCAAACTGCTGCTGTTATTGATCATCTTGGCATCTTTCCATCTGCAGTAGCTACTGGTCATGAGACTAACAATCTGCCTGGATTTCTGAAGTTCCCCAATGATGGTTATCAAGAGCTTGGTAAAACAAATTCCAAAGAAATGAAATTTCCACAGCTTTGCCAGAGCTTTAAAATCTACATGTATTTGTACCAGCCTCTAGAAGATATGTGATAAATTTTATCACATGGTGCACCAAGTCACAGATGTATGGGATTTCACAGAGGGTCCAAATAATTTTCTCGTAGAAATTACTTTCCTGGTATAAATTATTGCTACTGACACCAACAGGCACCCACAGGCAGAAGATACACACACAGAACACTTGCTGTGCATGCATACCATCACTGCATTAATTTAGGTGATATCCAGTCAACTGATTTAATGAAAAATACGTATAGCAAACCCTACCATTAAAAGACTAATGAGGGAAAAAGGGTGTATGAGACTGCCTACTGTCCAGAACTTTTGAATTATGAAATTAATTTTTATGATCGTCTGGATGTCCCCCCCCCCGCCACCCAAACTTAACTCCTGCAATTTTTTCTTTTTTCAACAAGTCGGCCGTCTCCCACCAAGGCAGGGTGACCCAAAAAGAAAGAAAATCCCCAAAAAGAAAATACTTTCATCATCATTCAACACTTTCACCTCACTCACACATAATCACTGTTTTTGCAGAGGTGCCCAGAATACAACAGTTTAGAAGTATATATGTATAAAAATACACAATATATCCCACCAAACTGCCAATATCCCAAACCCCTCCTTTAGAGTGCAGGCATTGTACTTCCCATTTCCAGGACTCAAGTCCGGTTATATAAAATAACCGGTTTCCCTGAATCCCTTCACTAAATATTACCCTGCTCACACTCCAACAGCTCGTCAGGTCCCAAATACCATTTGTCTCCATTTACTCCTATCTAACACGCTCATGCATGCTTGCTGGAAATCCAAACTCCTTGCCCACAACACCTCCTTTACCCCTTCCCTCCAACCTTTTCGAGGACGACCCCTACCCCACCTTCCTTCCCCTACAGATTTACACGCTCTCCATGTCATTCTATTTTGATCCATTCTCTCTAAATGACCAAACCACCTCAACAAACCCTCTTCAGCCCTCTGACTAATACTTTTATTAACTCCACACCTTCTCCTAATTTCCACACTCCGAATTTTCTGCATAATATTTACACCACACATTGCCCTTAGACAGGACATCTCCACTGCCTCCGACTGCCTCCTCACTGCAGCATTTACAACCCAAGCCTCACACCCATATAAGAGTGTTGGTACTATTATACTTTCATACATTCCATTCTTTGCCTCCATAGATAACATTTTTTGCCTCCAAGTATATAGTATGCCTGCAAGTATATACTCTATATAAGAATATGTAAAGCTAGATAAAAGCTACAAAATTAATGAAATAAAAATAATTAAAACATCTGAATTTTAATATAAATTGTTTTACCATTCCAAAAAGACTTTAAATTGAAAAAAAACATATGGGTAACTTAAAATATACGATAATGTTCTCACTCCTATAATTGTTAAAAATTTTGCCCAATCTGTTTATATTTTGGTTGAACTGAACTTTAAAAGAACTTAAAATTAAGCTTCTGAAATCAACACAGACACCATGGTCCTTTTACAATAAGTTCATTAAAAAAGGCTTCTACGTCAACATTAATTTTACTGCCAAGCTAATCTCAATTAAAAAAAAGTACATTTGTTATTTATTTAAAAAATCAAGCTAATGAAAGACATTAGTGAAAATAATTAATGGAATAAATTTCATAATACATGCATTTAGTAAGAAGACAAATTTAATTTGGAGAAATTTTAATTCTTACCTTCTGTAGCATTCATGAAGGGTACTTAATAAGGTTTTTAAGCCCTTTTGACTAAATTCTTGCACCCACTGTATTCGGTTGCTGCGAAGAGCTACTTGCAAACTCTCTAGAACCTTGAAGAGGGCCTTTACGCTGAGGTCATCACGTTTTAAATAATCTATGTAGTCCAATGGTGTTTCAAATTTATGTTGAGTTTGTGCCATCATCTGTTAAATAAGATACATGATATTTAATAACTTTGCAAGTATGCAAGGCAAACTGTTAATAAAAAAGCCAAGAAGCCTGACTGGCCTACTGTAATGATAATACAGTGCTCCTTTACTCTGAAAAACTAAAGCATTCCTACATGATCATTCAGAAAAAATTTGCTTAAAGCAAATGTAGCTTATAAAGAATAAAAAAAAAGCAAAATATCATGACTGGAACAATACACAAATAATCTGCACACAGGAGAAAGAAGCTGATGATGTTTTGGTCCAACTTGTACCATAAACTAGTATACATACATTGGAGGGCAGGGATGGGAGAAAGAGGTACAAAAATAAAAGGAAGTGCAAACAATGCACCATTTCTATATCAAAACTCTCATTATTTTAATATTAATGATTACTATATAAAAATTGTAAGATAGATACCTAGTAAGAATATAAAAACTTCATTTACAGGGGAGTTCATGCACTTGCAGCATCAAAGTAATCATTTCTTGTTTGCAAAACTATGCTTAGCCACTTCAGCTGAAGTGGCTAGGCACAGATAAGAAGAAATGCTCACCTTATAATTACTCGCTAACATAATCCTCATTTTATCTACGGATGTTTTCATCATGACGCTCTCGTCCGGAATATTCATATCAGTCATCATCTTTTGAAAATGGTCTTTTACCTGCCAAGATATGAAAGATTTTAAGCTGTAAAAAAATTTACTTAAAAGTATAACATCACAAATGAACAACTAATTTATTTAAACCATATTAAACTTCTTCATATCAATATTTTAGTAAATTTATATAATTTGGGGGCAACTGGAAAATAATTATATTTTATATACGTATAATTATATTATATTCCTACTATATTACGTAATTAAATTATATTCATGGAGGAGTGCTTGGGGAAGTGAGCGTCAGTCAAATTTAATTTGAGAAAAGGGAGGATAGCTCAAATTCCTTACACCAGCATAAAGGTGCCACATACAAGAACTAGTAATAAGGTATGATTAAGTAATATTTTACAAAGAGACAAAGGGGACTTCATGAAAGCAAGGGCGAGAGAGAAGGAATCCCTAAAATCAAGGGAAACCTTTATAACAAAAATGATTATCAGTATAAAAGATCATCATCAATTATCAGGCAATTGCTTATTCAGTACAGTGACAGTGGACCCTCAGTTATCGGCCATTCCGCTTACTGACCAACTCGGTTATCGAGTGGTTTTTCGGCTTCCAGTTATCAGCCGTTATTTCACTTATCGGCTGTACTGGACACGTCCACCCACCTGCCCACTAGCCGCTCGTGCATTCGTGAGTCAGTCTGGCTGTGTCTCTGGGTGAGTGAGGACACCTTTGCTCATTCATCCAAACATCAAGGAAGCTAATGTTGCAAAAGGAAGTTTAGCAGGGACGCAGGGAGTGTAGCAGGCAGGCAGGAAGTGAAGCAGGGAGGCAGGACCCCAATGGAAATAAGTCACTCTGACTTTTTGGGTTATCCTAGGTTCTTTACACATATGCTGTGGAAGGGAGGCAGGGAGTGTAGCAGGGAAACTGGAAGTGTGGAATGGAGGCTGGGAGTGTAGCAGGGAGGCAGGGAATGTAGCAGGCAGGCAGGGAGTGTAGCATGGAGGGAGTGTAGCAGGGAGGCAGGGAGGCAGGGAGTGTAGCAGGCATGCAGGGACTGTAGCTGGGAGGGAGGGAGTGTAGCTGGGAGGGAGGGAGTATAGCAGGCAGGCAGGGAGTGTAACAGGCAGGCAGGAAGTGTAGCAGGAAGGCAGGGAATGTAGGAGGCAGGCAGGGAGTGTAGTAGGGAGGCAGGATATAGCAGGAAGTGTAGGAGGAAGGCAGGGAGTATAGCAGGCATGCAGGGAGTGTAGCAGGCATGCAGGGAGTGTAGCAGGCAGGGACGGAAGTAACCCCAGAGAGGGCTCTGATACCTGAAGTTCTTATGGAGGGGGATTCCCCTTCCAAACAATAATCAGTCCTCCCTCCTTCTCCCTGTCTTCTATAAACCAAGAGGAGTCTTCAATAAAGATATTTAATAGTGATTTAAATGTTCATTTATTGTATGTAAAACTATAATTAATATTTAAAAAATGTATTGTTTGTTAATATTTTCGGGTGTCTGGAACAGATTAATTATATTTACAAAAATTCTTATGGGAAATATCGGTCAATTTTTTCTGAACAAAATTATTCAGACTCCTGTTTGTTAGAGTTCTGGTACATTTGAACATTGAGGTTCCAATGTACAATGCCTGCACTTTGCAGGAGAGATGAGGATATTGAAGTGCAGAGGGTCATTTGAATTTCTAAACTGAAATGCCAGCTCACTTCCAGCAAAACAGCTAATGAATGAATAATGCTCAATGTTTCCTTTTTTCATCACCCTACCTTAGTGGAAGATAGCCAGATTAAAAATGAAAATATGTATTCCATATCCAGTAAGCTCTGAGTATTACAAGATGGCCATAACATATTACGTTATTTAAAATTACAAATTCCATAAATACTATATGTACTGTAGTTCTTAAAATATAAAGTTGACTGATTCAAGCACCAAACATTTAACTATTAGAAGAGTTAATCAAGAAATCAATTCTTCATTTTATGTTTAATTATAAATTTAAAACAATAATCCAGTATATAGAAACCTGATCATCGGTGAGGTTATCAATGTTATACTGGTCTTCCTCTATTTCGTTAAGGTCTATGTCTGAGTTTGGTCTAGGAAGGTGGCTACTCCTTTCTTTCCCAACCATCTTCTTCTTGGAAGTCCCAGTAAGCATCTTGTCCATCTTGGTCAACTTTAATAAAAATTATAATTACCATAATTTAAAAAATGAGCTTAAAAGAAAGCAAATTAATGCAGTACAGTTTATCAGATACATTAATGAAAACTGAAATTATAAAAGTGTTGTTTGTGGGTAGTTTGTTCCCACTTCTGAGTATTCATTGCTAATTTTATAAGAAACATATGTACCAACGGTCTCCACGGGAAAGTGTAACAAAATTCTTCCTCCATAAGCCATGCGTGTTGTAAGAGGCGACTAAAATGCCGGGAACAAGGGGCTAATAACCCTTTCTCCTGTATATATTACTAAATTTAAAAGGAGAAACTTTCGTTTTTCCTTTTGGGCGGCCCTGCCTTGGTGAGCTAAGGCTGGTTTGTTGAAAGATGACGATGTACCACTGGCAACAAAATCCCTCAAAATTATTTAATATGTACAATAGTTTAGCCCTTTCAGTGTTGCAGCACCTGCTCACAAACTTGCTCTAAAGGTTGAAGAATTAAAAAAAAAAATTATTTTATCTTAGGAAATGACAGAGAATCTTTTTCAGAAGGGAATGAAACCAAAATTTGATGGAATTATGCTCTCACAAAGCGGTCTTGGCGATATTTACATATCAGCAATTTTGGCCACTTTGCACTATTTTTGGTCAATTCCATTGTTCCGGTTGACCAAATTCACAACGATTTCACTAGTATTCCTTCTATTCTATTGAATGAGTACAAAAAACTGCCCATTTACCTATTTCAACTACTCAATAAAGTACAGCCTCTCCTCACTTAGCGATGTACTCGTTTACCAACGACTCGGACTTACGACAGGCTTTCTGGCCAGTATGCATACATAAATAATGTATATTAGAGCTGATTTCCTCTATTCTGTTTATTACAATATACATACATTACTGTATAAACTTTTAAAAATATACTAAAAGTTTTATAAATGGTGCCAAGGTGACATTAAAACAATATCAAATTTGGTTGACACAAACCCACTACCATTATGGTATGCTCCTTGCTTACAAATTAATTTACCAATGTGGTCTTAGGAATGGAACTCTGTCGTTAAGTGGAGAGACTGTAATCAGAAATTAGTAATTTGGCCAGTTTCACACAAAATTCATCAATTGCAAATTTGAAAACAGGGTCCAGAATAAACAATATAGATATTCCTGGAACTAAATAAACATTTCCTCTGCTCCTAAGTCACATCTCCAAGCCCCTCTAATATTACGCTTGCTTTTCATTTTGAATTTTTATTCACACAAAGTAGAAAATTTACTTTTATGCAGACTACTACATTATTGTAATGACTTTATAAATAACATCAGTGCATTCCAAAATGTGTATTAGACTGGCCAGCTGGACAAGTACTGGAGAAGCGACATCATTTGTGTACTCTGGAATATCAGCAAAAATTGATCATTTCCACTACTTTGAGCTTAATTTCAAGCTACTTTCAGTCCCGAAACTAATCAAAATCATCTCTATTTCTGTAATATATCTTCCATTCTATCAAAAGAGACCAAGAAACTGAGAATACAGCCAAAAAAAAAAAATGAAAATACACTGCAGTCACTATTTTAAACCAGAAAATGGTTGCATTTTTTTCTCATGACGCACTGCGTGCTGCAGGATTTTTTTATATGGTGCACACTTACCGCAGAGAACCATTCTCTCATATCTAGGTCCAAATTTACCACTCTCAGCTCATCTGAGTGAGCTGAGCTTATGGCATCATACTACAGGACCAAACTTGTTTCAAAGCAGTGATATAATAGGACTGACACTGATAGCACAAATTTTCTTGATTTAAAAAATTATGACTGATTATAATGGAATAAATAATTATTATTTGATGGAAATACAATATATTATTTGTCTGCCAAAATACCAACATAAAATGATGTAATATAAAGGGGTTCCTGAGAGTGTTGACATTTGGCAACTCATGAGTTGAGATGATGTGGTATTAAGTTTCATGCTTATACTTGTACAGTGTATAGTGATTTAACAGAAATTTATAAACAAATGTTACAAAAAAAAGTACAGTATATAATGAATAGTGATTTAACAGACATTTAACAGTATAGTGATTTAACAAATTTAACAGTATAGTGATTTAACAGAAATTTATAAACAAACATTACAAAATACAGTACAGTATGCCTATTTGAATTCTTTAATTTTTTTTTTCAACAAGTCGGCCGTCTCCCACCGAGGCAGGGTGACCCAAAAAGAAAGAAAAAAATCCCCAAAAAGAAAATACTTTCATCATAATTCAACACTTTCACCTCACTCATACATAATCACTGTTTTTTCAGAGATACCCAGATACAACAGCTTAGAAGCATATATTAAGATATATAACATATCCTCCTGCCTCGGTGGGAGACGGCCGACTTGTTGGAAAAAAAAAAAAAAAAAAAAAAAAAAATAACATATCCCTCCAAATTCTTTAATATACATGTTAAAATGCTAATTTTAACACTTATATTAAATGCAGTGCTTGGTTTAAATAAAATACAGTACACACTTCTTAGCCCGAATTTCTTATCACCTCTCTTTTTTCTTGTCCCCTTCCCTACCAGAGACTCAAGGCTTGCCAAGGATACTAGCCTCAACCATAGATTTCAAAACAGATCATTTTGAGGGGTCCTCAAATCAATATTTATTCGTTGCCAAAACTAATCTCTCAAGAAGGGAAGTCTTCTGGGACCCCCAGCTCACAGGGTTTTCATAGATAAAGCTACTGGAAATTTAACTCTTTCAATTTTGCAAGTTGCACACACTTTGAGAAAAACTTAAGTGATAAAATCTTTAATGGGAGTTTCACATCATAATTGTCACATTTTAAGCCAATTATATTTTGGCATTTTTTAAACTATAAAAAGTATACCTTTAAATTACTTGTCAAAAAAAAAAAAAATACTTACGAAGCTTGTGGATTTGGATCTGTCGTTGCGTGACATCTTTCAGGCTGGGACGACAAATATAACTATATACTACAAAAATGATCAAGTTGTTCTTGAATCTGGAAGCTACATTGGATTTCTGCACCAACTGACTCTGGTTAACCTGCAAAAGACAGATTCTAATTGTACCTATGATAAAGACAGCAAAGAAAATAGTCCCACCGTGCCTCAGTGGGAAATGGCCGATGTGTTAAAAA